TTTCCCATTAGGATATTATTTTAGAGAACCTTGAATATTGCAGACTCATATTGAGTTTTGGGATTGATTGTATTGCATACATGTATTTTCAATTGCATGTGAACTTTTCCATTCCGATTAAAAACCATGTCTCATTCAAAACTCCCTAGGTCATCTTCTAGTAGGTCAAACCAACCTCCTATTCCACCTCAAAAATCCAAATCCAAACGCTCCCGATATGACTATTCTTAATTCTTGCTTTAACCAACCTGGTCGTTGACAAGATCTCTACCATAGGTTCGTTAATTTATTCGAGTCATATAAAATCCGGGAAGAGCTTATCCCCTCAATCCAAGCCATGATCGATATATATTTTAAAGATCTTTCTACCCTTCGATCTTGGAAATTTGATAAACTGTTTCAGCTTAAACTTGTTGTCTATCACTAACTTGTTCGCATTTTCTATTCAAATGCGGTTTATGTCCAAAACGAACGTCAAACTACGACCGTAGGGATTCGATCTTATCTCTTAGATCAATTCCTTTATATTGACTCCAACACAATCGCTAATATCTTTGGTTTAGATAATGAGTGTTTAAACAATGAAAAAGAAATTATGGCTACAAATTATCGAGCTATGGCTAGTGTGAGTATCTTGTTAACTCAACACGAGTGTTTCCTTCATTTGATAATCTCTTGGTGGTTTAGACCATCTGGAGGTAGATACTCCACCCTTAGAGCTCTAAATTTATGGTGGATACATTGTATCCAACATAATAAGAAAATAAATTTGCCAGAAATCATTTTCGCTGAGTTAGTAGAAACCGTGAACAATGTCCCGTCCAAATATATAGAAACCTTAGTTTATGGTTGTCTTCCAAGTAATTTGTTTATCAAATCCAATCTTAGGGTCATGTTTGATGTAGTTATCCCTCTTAAGAACCCAATAAATCTCACAACCTTGAAGAAATCGGGATGGACCGGGGAAAAGGATCAATGGGTTCGATCAACCTAGAAAACACCGGGCGCTAGTTCCTCACGAGCAGCACCAAAACCGGTAGTTGATGATGATCCAGAGCTTGAAGAACTTATGCGCGATATTGACGATCATGTACCCGAGGATGAGCCGATCCAGCAAGAGAGTCAGATGCCTCCATACTTTCAATCGTTTATGGAGAATCTTGACATGAGGTTTGCTCCATTGAGTCCCATTTAACTGCTAACAACGAAGCAATGAATCATCGATTCAATGCTATGGACGAAAGGGTCGACGTGCTTGCACGAGATGTGGATAATACATGGGCACATCTATCACCTCTCGATCCACCAATGGATGATTAGACATATTCTTGCTTAGTTTCTTAGGTTGAGTTAGAACTTATTGTTAAAACATTTGGATGTTTTGGATTTGTGTTGTGGATGTTTGGATTTATTTGTTTTTTTGTTTGAATATTGGATGTTTATTACTTTTGAACTTAAATTAAATTTTCATTTTAAGTTATGCATCATCTTAGTTATATTGACCAATTACCATTACACATTTATGAATATTGATTACGAACTAATGGCTAATCTTTCTTTTGATTGTGATCTTAGCAACTTAAGCTATATCTATATTTATATAAATCAATTGGTTATTTACCTAAAAGGGGGGAAATAGAAATCTTGTTTAAAAACATTTTATAGAGTCTTTTTGATTTAACAAAAAGGGGGAGAAGAGTGTAAGGGGGGTAGTAATTTTCAATTTCAAAATTGATTTTAAAATTGATTTTCAAATCTTAAAATTACTTAAATGTTTTGTTATATCAAAAAGGGGGAGGTTGTTGAAAACATTTTGATGTTTCGATATAACAAATGAAGTAATATTATTCAATTTTAAGATATATATATTTGATTAAATTATTCGAATATCAAAAATATTACTCCAAGTTTTCAAATGTCAATTTTAATCCTTAATTAAGTGTAAATTTGTGTTTTAATCTTAAAATGTTTTTGAAACAATTTTTATAAAGTATTTCGAACCATAATTAGGCCAAAAATGATTTTTACAAAGGGAGGTACCGATACACTATTGGATGTATTGATACACTCTAATTTCAAATTTAATTTGGGTATCGATAAACAGTTGATGTATTGATACACTCCTGGCTCCGAGAAACATCGAATGTAATTTGGGTACCGATACACTCTTGAGTGTACCAATACACCAGGTCAACCAACAGTCGAAATATTTGAATTTTACTCTGAGTGTATTGATACACCTTGATAGTGTACCGATACACCTATGCTCCCAACAAATGTTTTAAATGGTATTCGCACCATAACGGCTCTATTGACTTTACCAATGATCCCCAACGTTCAAAAGTGATCCAAGGTGTATTTAAACAAGCTTAGGAGCCATTGATCAATAACAAGAAACAAGAATTGAGAGAGAATAAAAGAAAAAGCCTTAAACATCAAGTTTGATCATTTCAAGCCTATTTTTCATTCAATATTCATTTTTGTTTCAAGAACACCATTTGTGCTCAATTGTATTTATTCTTGAGTGTTATTTCTTTGTTCTATAATTGTGCAAATATCTTACCTTGTGAGGTTTTTCTGTAAGTTTGCAAAATTTGTGTATTTCTCTTTGGGAGAGAGTGTTCTCAAGAATTCGGGGTATAATTCTTAAGGGAGTTGTAAGGTTACTCTTTGTCCTCAAAAGAAAGAACAAATTAGTGAATTTGTTGGAAAATACTTAGTGTGGATAGCTAAGGTAGTGGACGTAGACTTTTGTTGAGAAAGTCGAACCACTCTAAATCACTGAGTAAATATTTTCTATTTTCTGCAAAAGCTTCCACCAAATTTTTAATTACCAATTTACCCTCTCTTGGCTATTTTGTCAATCGATTAACTCAACAACATGACCAAACAAAGCATGTTGAGATTGATAGGCATTTTATTACTGATCGAGTCAACAAAAAGACAACCACCCTTTCATACATTACTTCAGAAAGATAGATTGCAAGCATTCTTACAAAGGTTTTGCCAAAGTCTATTTTCAATAAATTCCTATTCAAGCTATGATTATAAAATGTATATTCTCCAACTTGAGGGGGGTGTAGGAATTATAGATATATATGAGCTATTACTTTCCCTTAAGTTAAGGGATTCTGTAATATTCTTTTTTACAATCCCTTATTTTAAGGGATCGTATCTCCTAGGATTAGTATCTTTCCTAACTTAGAGTTTCCTAATTTAGAGATATAATTTGTATATATAAGATACGATACGTCCTATTGAATTAATTAAAAATATAGAGAATTACTTTGATTTCTACAGAACACACAGGTAAAACTGCCTATAACATGAACTAAAAAGGGGTTAAGACCTAACCCTATGTTTGGAATGGAGTAATAGAGGTAAAAGGAAAAGAAAGTATGGGAAATGATGATTCCCTGGGGGCGTTTGCTTTAGAAGCATTCCCACCAAGGGGTAAAGAAGTATTTCCAACAGTGTTTTTTTCCTTACATTCCTGGGAATCTCATTCCCTTACATAGCTTAGGTATTTAACAATTCCCGTCGAATTGGAAAGAAATACCCTTAAAATAAAAGAAAAATTTCAAAACGACCCTTTCTTTTATGATAAATCCCTAGTTTTACGTTTTACTTTCTTCTCTTTCAAAATTTACGCTTAAAATAACATAACCCTTTATCAACAATCAAGCAAATTATTTTATGGTTGCCATTTTAAGTTGCAACCTATTTTATGGTGGCGCCACATTTTAGGTTGCACCACTTTTTCAAGTTGCACCACATTTAGGTTGTAACTCCTTTTATGTTGTAACCCTTTTCAAGGTGACGAGTTCTCCCACATAATAGGACCCACACCTATTTTATTTTTTGTATTTTTAAAGAAATAAAATTATATGTAATAAAAATATATATATTAAGATATTTATGTATAAATTTTATTAAAAATATATAAATATTTTTTATTAAAAAATAAATGTAATAAAAATATATATTAAATTATTTTATTAAAAATATATAAATTAGAAATAATAAAAAATATATTTTCTATGAACTTTCATTTGTTAAAAAAGAAAACTATCTCAAGGGAAATTTAGTAAAACATACATTTATATTATATTTTATTCCTTCATCCTAACATTGCAATCTTATATTTTTGTCAAAAAAACCAAACAAGATACTACAATATTCCAATTAATTTGTTAAGTAATATAATATTCCGGTAATTTTATTCTCAATAGTAATTTTACATTCCGTGAACCAAACGCACTCTAAAATGTTAAGTTTTCATTTACCCCAATAGGAGGGAGGAGCTAAGGAATGGAAAGTAAAATGATATTTTAAAATATAAAATATCATTTTTAGCCTTTTCTTCTTTTATATTTTTTTGAAAAGGTTATAGTTGTAAAATTCCATTAAAAGTCATTGCTTCTAGAATTACTTTATTTTCCTTTCTTTTTACTAAATTTAATAATCCAAACAAGTTCTTTTCTTCCCTTAGCCTTCCTCCTTTTCTTACTCCACTTCCGTTTCTTTTCCTTTACTGTTGTCAATCCAAACAGTGTAATGGTTTCCCAAGCTGCCACATTTGCATGGTTGTTTTTGGAAGCTCCACTACATAATTGGAGATAATATCCATTCATTGCTGATCAAGTGCAGCAAATTATAATTAAAAACTATTTAAACAGTTCACTGAAATAAAACATTCGTATTAACCATTCTAATTCCTTGGTAATCACTTTACAAGCTTTACCGACTTCCAGTAACTCACAAAACTTAGTTAAGTATAAAAATGATTTGCTTCAGTAAAGTATACAGTCGCATAACGTGAACATGTAAAGAAAGTTGATCAAAAGAAACAAAGATTATAAAGTAAAAAGTAAAAGAGGGAACACTATATACAAGCAGATGAACAGACTCAGACATGCAAAAACATATTCCATCAGATGTATAAATTTTCCATTATGTAAGCAACAAGACCTAGAAACAGAATGCAGTAAAAGGACCCTTTTCAGCTCTGCTTCAAATTGATATCTTTGTTTCTCAAGCTCAGAAATCTCAGCTACTATTTCCTGGATATCGTTCATTACAGAATAAATTCAGATTTCCCACACAAAACAAGTAATACACCAAAACTCACAAGCTGAAACGCTCAGACTTGCATGGTTTTCATTTTTTTCAATAAAAAGCTTATATAGTTTAGGTATGCTAATGAAAACTAAGTTGAAAGTAAATAGACCTTAAAGATCCTTTTTATTTACGGCGTATAGGTTTCTTTTGGTGCATATGTGTAAAATAGAGTTTTCTGGTGAAGGAATTAAGTTCTTTTATTCAAAGAAAAATGCATCTTACATAAGAGGATACATAGGATTTTTATACACATGAAGTAAAGACCTAGATAAGATAAGAGTCTACAAATTAGTAGATAGTTTTAGAGATAAATTAGGATTCATAGTTTAACTTAAACACTACTTACACTCCCCCTCAAACTGGGGAGTAAATATTGTGAAGACCCAACTTGGATGTAATTTCGTCAAAGGTAATCCTTGGAAGTTCCTTGATCAATACATCGGCTAGCTGGTTTTGTGAAGAGACGTAGTTCAGTTTCACAGTTATGCCATATACTTTTTCTGTAATAAAGTGTTGTCGATCTCCACATGTTTTGTTCTGTCGTGGTGCACCAGATTCTTTGCAATGCTTATTGCAGATTTTTTGTCACTCTGAAGTTCAAAATAGTTGTTGTCGTACATCTCTAGTTCAGTTAAGAGTCTTTGTAGCCAAATTCCTTCACTTATCCCGAGTGTTATCGCCCTATATTCTGCTTCTGCACTACTCTTGGAGATTACTGATTGTTTCTTGCTTCTCCATGTCACCAGGTTTCCCCAAACAAATGAGTAATATCATGTGGTTAACCTTCTATCTGTTAATTCTCCAGCCCATCTTGAATCTGAGAAGATTTTCACTATTTTTTCTTCATGTTTTCTGAAAATCAACCCATGTTCTGGTGTCATCTTTAGATATCTTTAGATTCGATTAACTGCCTCCATATGTTCTTGTCTTGGATCATTCATGTATTGACTAACAATGCTAACATGAAAAGCAATGTCAGGTCTAGTTAGAGATAGATAAACGAGTTTACCAAATAGCCTATGATAATGTTCCTTATTTACCGGGTTTCCATCTTTACTCAATTTTAAGTTAACTTCCTTAGGAGTTTCTGAGGGCTTACAATTAGTCATTCCAGTTTCAGAAAGTAAGTATAGAATATACTTTCTTTGATTTATTACAATTCCTTCTCGTGATCTCGCTACCTCCATGCCTAGGAAATATCTCAGAGTTCCCAAATCTTTGGTTTCAAACTCTTTTGATAGTAATGTCTTCAACTTTTCGATTTCTACTAAGTCATTATCTGTGATGATGATGTCATCAACGTAGACAATCAAGATTGTCTTATTCTTATCAGGAGTAGTTTTTACAAACAGAGTGTGATCGGATTGACACTGTTTGTAGTTGTCTTGTAACATTACCTTTGTGAATCTATCAAACCAAGCTCGAGGTGATTGTTTTAGACCATATAACATTACCCTAGTGGAACTTGCATATACACATCTTCTTCAAGATTGTCATTGAGAAATGATTTTTTATGTTTAGTTGGTGAAGTATCCAATCCTTATTCACCTCCAAGGATAATAGAACTCGAACGGTGTTGAGTTTTGCAACTGAAGCAAAAGTCTCCTGATAGTTAACTCCATGAGTCTGAGTGAACCATTTTTCTCTAGCTTTATATCTCTAAATTTTTCCATCTACCTTGAATTTCACAGTAAAGACCGATTTGCAGCCCATTGGTTTCTTATTTTTAGGTAGATCAATGATGACCCAGGTTTTGTTGTTTTCTAGAGTTGAAATTTCTTCTTCAATTGCATTCTTCCACTTGGGACTTTTTAATGCATCCTATATGGTCTCTGGAATGTGAATATGATCAACCTGAGCTGTGAAAGTCTTAAAACCAGACATTAGTTTTCCACAAGCAACAAATTTACTAATAGGATGTGTTGTACATCATCTAACTCCCTTTCTTTGAGCAATTGGTAACTCACTCGTATCAATTACCACGTCCAACTTACTTTGGTCACCATCTCCTCTGTCTGTCGATGGATTTAACCTGGTTCTAGCTCTTGACAATGTGTTGACTGCGGTGTGAAAGGTAGGACTTGTTTGGGTCGTCTTTTATAGGTGAGAATATCAGTAGATGGTTTGGGTGTTTCATGAGAGTCGGTGGGATTAATGAATTGGTTTTCATTATTAGATGTGGTGGTGTTAAGGGGTTATGGAGTGGTAGTTTGTTCAATAGAAGATGGATTGTTGGGAAACTCAATAATAATCGGTAAAAATTGAAATTCAGACTCTCTCCCCCTGGATTTCGGTTTTTGAGAAGAACGGTTTATGATCTTGAAAATTGACATCCATAGATTTGAAGAATCATTTTGTAGAAGGAGAGTAACAATGATAACCTTTATGAAGGGATGAATAACCAACAAAGACACACCGAATTGCCCGAGGATCAAGTTTAGATTTATGAGGATTGTGGTCATGGACAAAGGTAGTACAACCAAAGACACGAAAAGGAATAGAAGAGGTAAAAGGTTTGAAATGAAGGAATTTAGTGGAAAGGATATCCCGTGGACACATAAAGGCAAAAATCTTACTAGGAAGACGATTGATTAGAAAAGTAGTTGTTAAGAGAGCATCACCCCAAAGGTATTTCGAAACATGAGAAGAAAAAATGAGTGCTCGGGTTACTTCAAGAAGATGACCATTTTTTCGTTCGATGACCCCATTTTGTTGTGGGGTGTCGACATGGGAGTGAGGTGGATTAATCCGTTTTCCTGGAAGAAATATCTCAACGAATGAGAGAGTTTATTCCCTACCATTATCATATTTAAGGATGCCAATGGAACTTTGGAATTGTGTTTCAACCATTTTGTGAAAACGTTTGAAGATGGTACAAGACTCAGATTTGTCCTTCATAAGAAAAGTGCAAGTGGTACGAGAGTAGTCGTCAATAAAAGTAATAAACCGACGAAATCCATGTAAACATGTAACCCATGAAGGTCCCCAAATGTCACTATGAATTAAGGGAAAAGGTTTAGGCGAGAGAGAGGGAGAAGGAGGATAAGAGCTACGAATGTGTTTTGCAAGAGAGCAAATGTCAAAAAAAAATGTTGTGGGATTTTTATTAATAAATAATTTGGGAAACAATTTTGCAATATAAGGAAAACTTAGGTGACCTAACCTAAAATGCCATAACACAATGTCGGCAACCACATCTGTGGGAGAAACTGAAACAAAGGAAGAGATAAATGGTGCAGGTGAGTGGTTGGGAACGAGAGCATAAGGAGAAACGTCAAGGATGTAGAGTCCACCATGACGCCTAACATTGTCAATCATCATCCCCGAGGTCAAATCCTGAAATTGACAATAATCACGAGTAAAATGAGAAGTACAACCCAAATCGGTAGATAATTTACTAATCGAAAGAAGAATGCAAGTCAAACTCATAACAAATAGAACATTAGATATAGGTTATTAACAAACTAGTTTATTTGGTTATTAACTAATAAGGTTCTATAGATTAGTGGTAGAGCATTTGACTGTAAATCAAGAGGTTATAGGTTCAAACCTGATTGGGCATTTTCCACTTTTCTTTTGTTTTATTATGTGCAATTTCCGACACTAAGTCGGGGTGTTCTACGATATAGCAACTTAATATAGGGTTTGAGGAAAGACGCAACCGAAAATGTTATAAATATTTTGTTTATACATTTTGTTAATATAGGTTCAAACCTGATTGGGCATTTTATACTTTCTTTTTATTATACTAAAATTTGTTTATAACATTTTCTGTTGGATGTAAGCTAAAATGTTAATTTTTTCTTAATATTATTCGAATGCAAATCTTCTTCATAACATTGTAGGTTGGCAACCAAAAATGTTATTTTTTATAATATTTTCGGTTAGATTGAAAATGTTAAAAAATTAACATTTTAAGTTACGTTCAACCAAAAATATTATGTTTGTTTATAATATTTTTGATCGAGTATTTTCTTAACCTTATACGTTAGTAGTCGCCTTTGCTAATAAAATTAATCTATAATAATTCTACTTTCAAATAAATTCCATTATGTTTCCTGCTTTCACACCTATTCCGCGCGTAGGAATTTTTTTAAAATTTTCGTTTCGGAATTTATTTCCAAAATGTCTTGTTTCGGAATTAAATTTTAAAATGTCATGTTTCAGAATTAATTTATAAAATATCCTGTTTCAAAATTAAATTTTTAAAAGGTCCGTTTTGGAATTAATTCTTTTATTGTGTGCAATTTTCCGCATTAACTCCTTATTGCTTTGATAAAACTAATCCGTAAGAATTCTTCTTTCAAAATAAATTCCATTATGTTCTCCAATCACACTCATTCCATGCTATTTTTCAAATGTCACTGTTTCAGAATTAATTAGTAAATATCCAATCTTGGAATTAGTTATGACAATATCCAGTGCTCGGAATTGATTATTAAAAATATCATTTTAGAATTAATTAAACTGTCCGTGTTTGAAATTAATTATTAAAATATCCTGTTATCCGTATTAACTATTATAATACCAGTGTTCAGAATTAATTTTTATGATATCCAGTGTCCGGAATTAATTACTAACATATCAGCTAGCGGAATTAATTGTTGAAACGTCATGTATCGAATTAATTGTTGAAATGTCCTGTTTGGGAATTAATAATTAAACTGTAGCAAGTAATTAACAAAATACCTGTTTAGAATTAATTAGTTAAATATATAGTGTTCCTAGTTAATAATTAGAATATCCAGCTTCCTAAATTAATATCCTGTAACTGTAATTAGTAAAATGTCGTTATAAATTAATTTTGAAAATATCCAGTGTCCCTTATAAAATCCAGTGTACCAAATCAATTATTAAAATACCCAGTTTCCTTAATTAATTACGAAAATAATCATAAGCGGAATTAATTAGTAATATATCCAACATTCTAAAATAATTATAAAGATATACAGTTTTC